TTTGGTTGTTTCTATTCGTTCTTTAATTTCTTTCGTGTTCATGATATGCATATGCATGTGAAATATACTTGAAAACCATGCAAATGAAGGCCCAGAAGTTAGAAAAATGGAAAGAAAACAAAACTGAGATCAGTCTGAAAATCACACGTATAGGAGCATTGGTCGCACGTGCGGAACCTCCACTGCACGTGTGCTCCACACGCGCAATTAAAACAGTGTTGGAGCTTTTATGTGTCATGTTTTCCTCACGTGCAGGGCTCTAGGCCGCACATGCGGTGCTAGGTTTGCACAAGTTCGAAAATTGCTCTTTGTTTTGAACCGCATCCTTTTCAAAATCTACCTTCAATTCCATGCATTCCAACCCAAAAATTCATAAAAAAACAACCTTGAATTTCGGTTTCCAACATCAAACACAAATCATAAGTTTGAATCAACACTCAAATTTCCAATCAAAGAGCAAAATCTTGAATTTAAAGTGTAAAATCACCAAAATATGCATCCATGAGTTCCAATCCAAAATCTTTGAAATTTTCTCTTCAATTTCCATAGACCATGCAAGAAATCAAGTGTATGAAGAAGATTTTCACGACATTATGCCATTCATGTCAAAATTATAAACTAGTTACTTGATTCCTTGCCTTAGTTATTCACATAGGTTCAATATATTTTCATACCTTATAAACTTCTCAATTAAGCATGTTTTCACCTCAATTCAACTTAGATTCCATAATCTTATGAATATAATAATTTAAATTCATGAAAGTAGAAGAGATTCCCTACCTTTAATTGTTAAATCTTGAAAATTTGCTCCAAATTCCCTTGCTCTTCTTCTTCTCCTTCTTCAGCTATTTCTCTCTCTCTCTCTCTCTCTCTCTCTCTCTCTCTCTCTCTAGAGCTCCCTCAAGATGTATATCATTAAGTCTCTACAAAGTCCACTAAGCCTCATTTCCCTACTTAATTTGTTGAATAGTTTAAGAAGCTTAATCACCCATTAATTGTCCCTAAGCCTTGCTTAATCATAAGTTTAAGTTAAATTAAATCAAACTCACTTAAACAATTCCCATTATAATTTAATCTAACTAAATTAAAATTAATTGTACCAATGTGGATTAGGCTCTAATCACCTATCCCAAACATTTAGTTTCCATATAAATTACTAATTCAGACAGGTTCACTTCATATCCTAACCATATCTGTTCACAATATCATAGTTCATTTCACACGTGGCATATAATAGCACACAAACACATAATCAATGCAAATCATATAAATAACTTCATTAATCAAGGAGGTGGTCGTCATAATTATGTCTTCCATATCTCAATGCTTCGAGATTATTTGAGGATTCGCTACATGTTATTGACCTAAGTCATGTGTTTTTAAAAGATGATTATACTTATGAAGAACAACCAATCCAAATTGTTAATCGCCGAATCAAATGATTGAGAAACAAAGAGATTTCGTTGATGAAAGTTTATTAGCAACAACATGGAAGGACATATGTGACTTGGAAAACAGAAGAAGATATGATGAAAAGATATCCAGATTTGTTTCCATTGAATCCTATGTTCTTCCAAAATGAAGGTAACTTACAATTTGGAGGACTAAACTCGTTGTGCGGATGTTGTACCATATCTAGGTCTTCTTTTGTGAACGAGATCATTGGCCCCCGATGTCTCTCCATCCAGGGCTTCTTCTATTGGACTTGGTAGATATGTTGTAGATGTCTTACCCTCTGTGTCTCTTATTGGATCTCATTCGCATTGACCTTCATACGGATCACGTTGATAACCCGTGGTCCATTTGCTTGTGGTAGCGAGGGTGCCGGCACCTAGACCAGCCTTGCTTGTTCTTCTCGTGTCTTTACTTCGTCTATCAAGTCTCTCAAGTGTCCCTGCCTGACTAAATCCTCTACGTGTTATTTCAGAGCTAGGTACTCTTGCGTTATGTTCCTGTTCTTATCATGTAGGGACAATTCTTCCCGGGATTCCTACCCATGTACTCACCTAGGATTTTCTGCGATGCCCTGAAGTATGGCTGATATTTATTCTTTCTAAGACCCTGTAAATGGAGATCTTAAAATCGGTTCTTACGGCCTGCATAGCGTTCAATCCTAGTTCCAGCTTGTCGACGCCGATATTTTCTCGGCTGCACTTTTGTGAGTCGTTTCTCTTCTCCTACTTCACTATGCTCGTCTTTTTTGCTTTCATGCCTTTCCTTGCCCTTGCGCACTTCTCAATCCTTGCCATGAGGTCTTCCATATTCTTTGGAAGGGTCTTTGCAAGGGATTGTCAAAGCAGGTAATTATTCTCCAAGCCATTCTTGAAAGACATGACTGCAAGTTCCTAGTTACAAGTCGAGATCCGGTTGTAAACCTCGTAATACCTTTTAGCATAATCTCTAAGGATTTCGCCATCGCTAATTTTCAAAGCCAATAGGGAATCTACCATCAATGGCTGCAATCTGTTCGTAACAAATCTGGCTATAAACATTTCAGCTAGGCCATCCCAATTCTTGATACATCCCTTCGGCAATTTGTGGAACTAATCCAATGCTATCTCTACAAATGTCGAAGGGAACACCTTGCATAACAACTGCTCGTTCCCACTCCACAGAGACATTGCATTCAAATACAAACTAACATGGAAGTTTGGGTCTAACTTACCATCATAAATCTGGAATCTCGGTATGCTGAATCTCTTTGGTGCCTTGAACACATCCAACTCCACCGAAAGTGGTGTTCTCGGCTGGGCGATGGACATGATCTCGACGTCCTATCTCTTCCTCTAGAGGTAGTCTCTCAAATCTTCATTCGTCCGTCCAGGAGCTCTGCAATCTGTCGATTTCAACCACTTCGACGCGTTACTATCTGTGTTGAGATGTGTCTTTTTGGACTTCTCTATGTCTATTACTCGTTAAAGCAGAGGCCCTGCTCATTGACTTGCCAAGATCTTGTAATCTGGTTTCTCTTGGTCTTCGAGGTTCTCTAGGACTCTTCCCGCCGTGATTTTGTGCGCCCTAACTTTCTGTGATCGCCGATGCGAATTCCTATGCCTTTTCTCATGTTGTGGGATGGTTGGCACTGTAGTTAGTCTTTTCTCCTGGGCATAGGCGTTTCCTACTAGGGTCAGTGTTTCTAGTAAAGGCAACGCTGGCTGCATCACCTTGCTCTGCATCATGAAGTTCACCATGGTCTGTAAGTTCGTTAACTTGTTCATTTAGTCCTTTAGCTCGTCATCTCTTCTCAGGCATCTTTCTTTCCATGCTTAGTAGTCACTCTCGTTGTAATATTCTTCTCGATTGCCTTTTCTCGAGCCATTACGGCCCCTTGCAGCATTGTTTGCCTCTAGATTTACTTATCGCACTTCTTCGTCATTATTTCCTTCTCCAACGTTTGGATCTACGTACTCTTCTTCTTCACTATGTATGTCGTCCCCAACTCTCACCTCTTGTCCAGCGTTGACCATCTATTCTATACTAAGTTTTCACAGACGACACCAAATTGTGAGTGTTGATTTTTGATCTCATAACCAAACAGGAAACTTAGATGCAGAGCACGCGACAGAATAGATTAAATTGAGCACTTGTACACAAGAAGATAAGAATACCATGGTGGCTCGTCCACCTGGGGGCACTCCGATGTTTAAGTCAGTCGTTTATCTCACAAGATATTAGCTCAAATAATAGTGCACAAGTAAAAGTATACCTTAGACTCACGGAGGTGCCTTACTTTTATAGCCAATAATGCCCTCGTCTCCTAGAAGTCTCATTTCATAGGACTCAAGCACAATACTTATATTGGACTCTTAGTTAGATGTGGATAAACTACTTAAGAGCCTCATCCTTATTCAAACTAAGCTCATTGCTCATCTTGGACTCTTGTCCCCTATCCAAATATCTCGGGATTCCAGTATTACCGCACTATATCTCAGCAATACCATAATCACCTCAGCAATTTGGCTCGTCCACGTGAAACCTCGGCTAACACCTTAGCCATATCTCCGCCATGTGATACGACCCTAAAAGTACATCCCCACAACAGGGATTGGATTTTTTTGTCACGCCCCACTTTTTATATCAACGGATACCATTACCAAATCCTTCATTATAACATAACTTTAGACATCATGCGCAGAAATTTAATACATTAACTAGTAATATTATTAAAGGTTCTCTCATTCGAATATGAAATGAATGCAACATGAGATAAAAATAAATAAATTGCCCGTAGGCTTACATCTTTTAAATTAAAAGAAAGAGTTTAACCTTTTTACATCAATGGCATTCTGCCTACAAATAAAATGCCCTGCAGCCAACACATAAAGAAGATCCTCGATCTTGAAACCCTTCTCGACGTTACCTGAAAAAGGATTAGCAACGTGGGATAAACATAAAATCCAGTAGGGATCCCAATATGATCCTAAACAATAATAACATACAGATAGCTATGATCATGAATGTTTTAGATCATATCATATACATAATGTGACAGTTTATACAGAAATATACTTATATAGGAACTTTTCTCAAAATCATTCATTTCGTTCAACAATATAAGCATTTTACTTTTCTTTCATGATGTTACCCTTTTCAAAATTCATATGATAATAACAAGTTCCTGATAACAATGTCACAAAACCCATTACGTTTTCTCTCACTTTCCGAACGTACACCTAATTTGCCTTTTTGAAACATGTTCACAAGTATCCTATGTCTTTCACATTATTCACAATCTCAATACAGTACTTACGTCCGTTTCTAATACATTCATGTCTTTACATAAATACACTCAGTACAAAGGGAAAACAACAAGCGACCAATAACTATCTACTCAACAAATGAGACAACTCGGCCTTCCAGAACCATAACCATCATAACCCATAATATACACAGATATACTGAGACAATAATGATAAACAAGTTTTGCTCTACCTGCCTTAAGCACGGTAAGTCGAGGATACACTTTTCCATAAGCCAAGGATACATCTTTCTATAACGAAATGCCAATTTACCAGACACCGCCTGGAAGGTAATGCTACCTCTGTCAAGTTCTCCAAGCGTTAGCTGGAAGGTACTGGTACCTCTCATTCTAAGCGCGGCTAGTTCTCCAAGCGCTAGCTGGAAGGTAATGGTACCTCTCATTCGAAGCGCAAGCACATTCCCAACCATCTCAACATACTAGGATGCATAACCAAGGACAAAACCTCTAAGTAAAGGTATTAAATACTCGTAAGACAACAATCCAATTCTCGCAAGACTTTCTGTCCAACAAAAGTGATAATATGTAAAGGTTCCAAAATCTGACCTCAAGTTCATTATCAATTTACAAAGGGTGATGATTTCATTTTCTTTCAAAATGATCACTTTTCTTATTTTCCAATCCACACAACTCCAACCATTTTCTAAGAATTCATTCTCGTCATTTTACAAAACCAAAACCAAATCCGTCCTCTTTATTTTACAAAACCAATTCCATTGGTACCAAAATCATAACTCAACTCAACTCAACTTCACGTGATTAGTCTAAAATAATACCAACACCGTGGTCACTTCTCCTTTTATTTTCTTTTGATATAAACACAATTATACAACCCATATTAGCAAAATATAAAGATTATTCAACTTCATCCATTTTAAATCCATTGTATCAATAATATTAAATTAGGGCTTTCCTCCCTTTTAAATCCATTAAATCAATAATATTAAATTAGGGCTTTCCTCACTCTCTTCACAAACATAATAAATCATTTCCCAAATAACCCAATAACAAACAACTTAACAACTCCAATCACAAATATCAAACTCTAGAATCCCCTTTTATGGCTTTCAAGAAAATCCATAATGAATATGGTTTTTATGCAATAAAAGCTACCACATATCTATCTATAGATGAAGTATTAGAAAGGAGCAAAGAAATCCCTATCTCTTGAAGCGAACAGAAAACAACCTAAAAATCACCGGTGACGAAACCACAAACTAATTGAATCAATAGAAAGCCATTGACAAGATATACAATCTTTCTCAAAGGACCATGGTGAAAAGATCACTCTAGGTGAGTAGATCTAGAGATCTAGGTGCAAAAAGTCAAGTTTTAGAGAAAGAATAGAGAAATCACGGTTTAAGATGAAAGGAGGGAAAAAATAATGAGAGGAAAGTGGTTTTGGTCTATTTATAATAGTACAATATTTCCCTAAAGTCAAATAAAAAAGACAAGTCCAAAACCCCCAAAAGTAGAACCCATTCAACCCTAAAATTCTGAAAAAAAACACGCAGGGGTTGACCCTTCGGGCAGGAGGGTCGACCCTTCAGGTAGAAAAGACAATCTGGCAGCAAACAAGGGAGTGGACCCTTAGACAGGAGGGAGTCGACCATAATTTCTAGCAACTAACACACATAATCTGCAATATAAGAGGGTCAACCTTCTCCAGACTGGTGTCGACCCTATATTCCAGCAACACATCTAAGAACTTCACCAACAGGTAAGGGTCGACCCTTAGGAAGACTGGTGTCGACCCTAGAATAAAATTTCTAAGTCTCCAAGAAACTTTTGACGAAAATAAGTGCGAACAACCAAACCTAACAAATTTAAATTGATTTTCACTCATCCAAAACCAAGATATAACAACACCAAAGATCTCCAAAATAAAATAAAGGATTCAAATACACTTCTCAAAAGTTTTAAAAGAGTACAAGTGCTATATTTTTTGTCCTTAATCCTTATGTTTCTCTATTTTAAAATATTTATGATCGTTAAATTATATTTTGAATTTTTTGTATTTTAAAATTGTTATATAATTTCATAACTTGCAAATGTTTTGAGATAAAAATACACAAATTTAATAAAAGAGGATCTTTAACTTATTTAAAATGAAAGAATAAGAAAAAGGGGACGAACATATGTATTCAATTGTTCTCAAAAAGTTTCATAAAATCATATAAAACTCCACACACACACACACACATAAATAAAAGGAATAAATTTAAAAAAAAAAACTTTCAAGTGGTGTTTAGATTTTGAATTTGGGAAGAGATCTATCGGTAAAGAGAATGGAGAAGACAAGCGAAATTTTTGCATTTTCTATTTTATTCACTTTTTTTCCTTTTTCTTTAATAACAAATTCTTTCACAAATCTAAAATTCATGCCAAGTCTTGGTATTAAAAGATGCATTACTTAGATATCATAGAACTTGAACAAATCTACTTTTTAGTTCCAAATCTTGTGTGATCCTATTTAAAAGTGATCATCAATGACCATGAATTTAGGTGGGTATCTGACCAATTATGGTAAGTGATTGGGTTTTAGAAATTGAAAAAAGAATAGAAGGGTCTAGATATAATTAATGGACAATCCATTAATGCCTTCATACCCTTTGTTTTTCAAATTTTATAATAATTAGTGTAATGTAATGATATATAAATAAAGTTATTTCTTTCTATCTTTTCATTTTCAATTAAGGCCACGTTTATTTTTCGTCAATCTGAAGTGGACTATGATAGATAAATAGTGAGCTTAACTCACGTTTGTTTTGTTTGTGGCCTTCAGATTAATAGTCCATTCGAATTAGAATAGGCCTTGGGCGAGCCGATTGTTAGTTTGGGCGAAGAGGTGGTATTACAAAAATAGTCCGTCGACTTAGTGAGTTGTCGATCGTCCGCCTTCTAGCCAGTCAACCGATCAATTGCATTTTTTTTTAATTTTATTTTACATGTTAGGCATTTTTTTTTTTGAACATTAATGTTTAATGATTTTATAATTTTTGTTAAGTAAAAATCATAATTTTATTTGTTTTATTATTTTATATTTATTTTATATAAAAATAATATAACAATCCTCCCACTAACAACTATCATCAAAACAAACATAATCCCTCCACTATCAATCCTCTCACTAACAAAATCTCTCACTACCAATCCCCTCCATTCTACCTCTAAAAACAAACGGGGCTTGTAGCAACCCTAATTTTTCACAAGTCATATTTATTATTATTACTTTATTTTATTTTTGACTTTATTAATTGTGTGGATACATGAGAATTTAATGTGGTATTTAATTAATTTAATGTGATATTTAATTATATATAATTAATTTGAATATTTATATATTTATTTTCTGCCGTCGCAAATACTCTGCTTTTTGAGACGGCATTTTCTGCCATCGCAAAAAAATGACTTTCGTTTTTTTTTTTAGTGAATATTTTTAAAATTTTAAATATTTTTTTAGATGCACCTTACTTAGATGTATCTAAAAAAAAAAAATTATGAAAAAATATTTTTAAAAATTAATAAATACATAAAAATACAAAAAAAAATATATTGAATTATTGTATTTTTTGTATTTAGTGAATTTTAAAAGATTTTTTTTACAATTTTTAAAAAAATTTAGGTTTATTTATGTTAGGTGTGTCTAAAAATTAAAAAAAAATACTTAAAATATTAAAAAAATTCAGTAAAAACAATATAACACGGAAAAAAAGAAAGTATAATTTTCTCAAAAGAGTTTTTGGAAAAGTCTAACCTAGCATAGTGATTGTGGTTTTGAGACAGCTTCATATATATACAGTCACAAAATGGTTTGAATAAATTCTAGTACTTTTTTCTGTCTCAAAAAGAAATTAAAAAAACAATGTCTTCTTACTCTTTTGATATAACATTTCTTTTTTTGTTCATTTTTTCATCTTCATGTCTCTCTGTCTCTATCTCTCTCTCTTCTCTTTATCTCTTTCACTCATCACTTTTCTTTCTCTGTCTGTCTGTTTCTCTCTCTCATTTTCTCTCTGTGTCTCTCGCCTATCTCTCTTCTCTCTATCTCTCTCATCTGTTTTCTCTCTCTATATCTTTCGTTCATCTCTTTTCTCTATCTCTCTCATTTCTTTTCTATCTCGCTCATTTCTCTTCTCTCTATGTCTCTCTCTTTTTCTGTCTCTCTCTCTCTCGCTCATCTCTTTTCGCTCAATTTCTCTCTCTTTTTGTCTATCTCTCGCTCATCTCGTGTTTCTCTCTCTTTTTCTATCTTTCCCTCTATCTCTATCGCTCTCTCTCTCTCTCTTTCTCTCTCTATCTCTTTTTTTGTCTATCTCTCTCTCTCTGTCTCTCTCTCACTCATCACTCTTCTCTCTCTCTCTACTTGTCTATTTGTCTATTTCTCTCTTACTATGTTCGCATTGCTCACTCTCTTACTCCCATCTTCTCTATTTATCGAGCTCCTTCTCGATTTATCGATCCACTATAAACGACATCGTCTTACTCTTTTGAACATTTCTCTTTTCACCCATTTTTTCATCTTCTTATCTCTCTGTCTCTGTCCCTCTTCTTTTTCCCTCTCTTACTCATCACTCTTTTCTGTCTGTATGTCTCTCCCTTTCTCTATGTGTCTCTGTCTCTCTTATCTGTCTTTCTCTCAATCATCACTCTTCTCTATCTATCCGTCTCTCTCTTTCTCTCTGTGTCTCTGTCTTTCTTCTCTTTCTCTTTCTCACTCGTCACTCTTCTCTATCTGTCTGTCTGTCTGTCTTTCTCTTTTTCTCTGTGTCTCTCGTCCTTCTCTCTTCTCTCTATCTCTTTCATCTATCTTCTCTCTCTGTCTCTCTTCTTTTTTTTCTCTCTCGCTTTCTCGCTCATCTCTTTCTATCTCTCTCTCGTTTATCTCTTTTCGCTCTTTTTTTCTCTCTCTCTGTCTCTCTCTTTTTCTATATCTTTTCACCTATTTTTTCATCTTTTTCTCTCTCTCTTTTCTTTCTCTCTCTCATTCATCACTCTTCTCTCTCTGACTGTCTATTTGTCTCCCTCTCTCTCTCTATGTCTCTCATCCATCTATCTCTTCTCTCATCTCTTTTCTCTCTCTCACCACTCATGTCCTCTACCACCTTCACCACTACTGCAAACGCCATTTCAGTACCACCACTACTACCACGGTCGCCATTTCACCTCTACGACTACCATTACTACTACCATCACCACCACTCCACTACCACAATTACCACTATTGCCACTACTACTACTACTACCATTACCTCCCTTTCACCCCTGCTACTCCATTTACTCTACTACTACCACAACTTCACCATTAATCTCCTTCGCCATCACCACCACCACTATCATCTCTTATCCACCATCTTCACCACTACTGTCGGTTCCTCTTCTCTACCACAAAATATTACCTCTCTTCTCTCTCTCACTTATCACTCTTCTCTATTTGTCAGTCTTTGTCTTTGTCTTTGTCTCTTTCTCTTTCTCTTTCTCTCTTTGTCTCTCTCTTTATCTATGTCTTTCTCTCGATCATCTCTTTTCACTCTTTTTCTCTTTGTTTATCTCTCGCTCATCTCTTGTTTCTCTCTATTTTTCTATATGTCTCTCTCTATCTGTTTCTCTCTCTGTCTTCTTGTCTCTCTCTCTCTATATCTCTTTTTCTCTTTGTCTCTCTCTCTCACTTATCACTCTTCTTTCTCTCTTTCTCTCTATGTGTCTGTCTGTCTGCTTGTCTCTCTCCCCCATTGTGTTCACCTTGCTCACTCTCTCCCTCATCTCTTCTCTATTTACCGAGCTTTCCACTACAAGAAAATGCACTTTTAGCGACCATTTTGTCTCTCTCTTGCTCATCAATTTGTCTCTGTCTGTTTCTCTCTCTCTCTTTCTCTCTATCTCTCTTCTCTATCTGTCTCTCACTCATCTCTCTCTCACAACCCATCTTCTCTACCACATTCACCACTACTGCAAATGCCACTCCACTACTACCACTGTTGTCACTCGACCTCTACAACTATCATTACTACCACCACTACTACTACCATTACCTATCCTCTACCACCGCTATTCTATCTCTTCTACCACTACCACAACTTCACCACTTATCTCCTTCAGCATCACTACCACCACCACTATCACCTCTTGTCCACCACTTTCACCACTATTGCCACTTTTTATCCTCTACCACAAAAAATTAGTTCTTGATTTGTAGTAACAAAAAAAAAAATGGTCGCAAAAAAATATTTTTCATTGACCACAAAAAATTAACTTTATTTTAATGGAAAATATTATCCCTACTTCTACCAAAAAATTTTTTTTTTTTTTATTCATTAAAATAAATATGAAACAAATAATAATAATTTTTATCTCTCGCTCATCTCTTGTTTCTCTCTCTTTTTCTGTCTCTCTCTCTCTCTCTATCTCTTTCTCTCTTTGTCTGTTTGTTTCTCTCTCTCTCTCCGTCTCTCTCTCACTCACTCATCACTATTAATAGAAAATATTTTTCATTAAAATATTATCCTTACTTCTACCAAATAAAAAATAATAATAATAAATTTTCATTCATTAAATATTCATTTATGATGAAAATAAAAATTATTATTTATTTATTTTTATTATTTGAATATTCATTTATGATGAAAATTATTATTATTATTATTATTATTTTTTCCAATCCCG